GTTGGGGGAATCTGTAGCCTGTCTGCCAGCAAGGGAATGTGCCATTTCTCGACTCGAAACTCGGTATAACACTCAGCAGGATCCATTTCCCCCAAATCGAACGACGCGTACGAGTTGTAAGGAAAATCCAGATTCTTCGACTAATAAAAGTCATAGAGAAGGCAGAATTCTTCATCATCAAACATGTCGTGGGCATATCCAACAAAAACAAAATCCCTGATGTCTTTAAACGACGACATAACTAAAACCACCACTTGTTGAGCCTCACTTGTTGACGTCTTCGTCTTTGTACATGACGCAGGTGCTTAACTTTCAATTTTCGCGCCGAAAACGATGTTCTCGTCCCAGTGTCCTAGAGCATGCCACGTCATAATTTCGTTCTCGTTTTCGTCCTCGACGAAGCTGCTTAAAGTCCCTATTATTCTCACCGAGAACGATATACCCGGTGCTTCCTTGAATGGGAGAAATCCTTCATCCTTAAAGAATGAAGAACTGAAGTTTTGACTAGGGTGCCGCGGTGATTCTCTTAAAGGACTCAAGACTAAAGCGTGCTTTGTCAAACGGTGAGCATACGCAACTATTTATACACGTGGCTTTGGCGGAACTTTTACATTGATAATCTTTCTTTTTATTATAGAGTCCAAGAATATATCACGTCTGGTCGAGATAAGATGGTGGTCGATCCGGATAAAGATAAGATTTATACGAGAAGAAAGACCAGGCTTTCAAACCTGCCGGCCGAACGCTCCCCTGAAACTCCAGCCCCAAAGTATCCAAGTGATGGCTGGGGAAAATCACTTGAAAGGATGCCGCCGTTTTCGAGGGCCGAAATGAACCAGCACATTGAAAGTTCTGGGAAGAAAGTGGGTAATGCTGACAATCATTCGATTCCCACGAACTTGAGAAAAGCGAAGACATTTTTAAAGGATGAGTATCTCAAAGATATAGAAGCAAACAACGATCAAAGGTACCTCTACCTGAGAGCCAAATGCTATCATAGCTTCAGGAAGAATGATGCTCCACACAGTCTTCGTTTTGCGCTTTGAATCGTTTCAGGTGAAGTTATGCATGCCAACTGTTCGTGTAAAGCTGGAAGAGTGGGTTATTGTAACCATGTCCTTGCATTAATGTATAAAGGATGCAAGTTTAGCTTGTATGACAGTTAGGCAACTGATAACCTGGACAATGAAGATGATGAACAACCCAATTTAGCATGCACTTCACAGCTTC